TGGAACTGCCCAGAGGACAGACAGCTGCAGGGCTCTAAAGAAGGGGCTCTGGCTCCAGAGAAGGAACAGGGCACCTGGGGCATAGGCACAGGATTGAGGGCAGCCCATCTGGGAAGACTGACCTCTAGCCTGGTGGAGAGAGGGCAAGAAGTGCTTAAGGAATGGATCATCTCACACAAGAACGGCTGCTTAGTGCCTCATCCTAAGGCTGCATGAGCCAGTTCACAACAGGGACATCACCACCATAGGGGCAAGCTCAACGAGAAGCACCTGAGGCCGGACACCAGCAGCTCACATCTATAATCCTAGCTACTCAGGAGGCAGAGATTAGGAAGATCACAGTTCAAAGCCAGCCCAGGCAAATAGTTCCACCAGACCCTATCTTAAAAAAATCTATCACAAAAAAGGGTCTGGTGGAGTGACTCAAGGTGAAGGCCCTGAGCTCAAGCCCCTAGTACTGCAAAAAAAGAAGAAGAAGCATCAGCCACAGCCACTACACAACTGTGCTCACCTGTCTACACTGCACAGCAATGGCCCTTACTACCACTAGGCATCTGTGAGGGTGGCACCTATAAACTTCACTTCACATTGAGACTGCATCCAACTGATAGAAGTGGATCAATACCTAGTTGCTTAGGGTCGGTAGATTTAAGTTACTACCTTCAAAGAACGAAAGAGCATTCTCACTGGAGGTAAAATGGAGGAGGAACAAACGCACAAAGTCCACAAGGCTCAAGAAGTTACTATCTCTGACTGTCTATACTCTGTCCTTCAAGTTTCCTTCTGCTCCTCCTGCCTCTCTGCCTGAGGTATCATCCCCATGACGTGTACTGTGGGCAGGCTCCTCAAACTGGCTCCTGGGTCTTCAGTGGTACTTTCTGGGGTTGGCCCTTGTCCACCTGTTTCCTGGAGGTCTGCTAGAGTGCCAGGCTGAAGTCTGCAGATGATAAACTGAGGTCCGTTGGTTATTCTGCTCCAAACTGAGTTGCTATTATATTACTGTGCTACTTTTATTTTGAAATGTACAGTAAAGAAGTTTCAAGACCAAAGAGGAATGCTAAGAAAGGAGAATGTTATAAATACAAGGTTTAAATAGTCTATTTTCTTTTCACTTTTTCAATTTCAATGAGACTTCTAAAAAGAAGTCTAATTTTATAAGTCTAGATAGTTTTTATGTTAAAATAACTTTCCTTTTCCCAAATGCATTAATGAGCAATGGAGAAGTAAGAAAATAACCTAGGATATACCCAAAAGAATGTGACACAGATTACTCCAGAGGCACCTGCACACCCATGTTTATTGCGGCACTATTCACAATAGCCAAGTTATGGAAACAGCCAAGATGCCCCACCACTGACGAATGGATTAAGAAAATGTGGTATTTATACATAATGGAATTTTATGTAGCCATGAAGAAGAATGAAATGTTATCATTCGCTGGTAAATGGATGGAATTGGAGAACGTCATTCTGAGTGAGGTTAGCCTGACACAAATGACCAAAAATCGTGTGTTTTCCCTAATATTCGGACATTAGATCAAGGACAAACACAAAAAGGGGATTGGACTTTGAGCACATGATAAAGCGAGAGCACACAAGGGAGGTACGAGGACAGAAGACACCCAAAAAACTAGATAGCATTTGTTGCCTTCAACGCAGAGAAACTAAAGCAAATACCTTAAAGCAACTGAGGTCAATAGGAGAAGGGGGCCAGGAACTAGAGAAAAGGTTAGTTCAAGAAGAATTAATTTAGAAGGTAACACACATGTACAGGAAATCAATGTGAGTCAACTCCCTGTATAGCTATCCTTATCTCAACTAGCAAAAACCCTTGGTCCTTCCTATTATTGCTTATACTCTCTCTTCAACAAAATTAGAGACAAGGGCAGAATAGTTTCTGCCAGGTAGCGAGGGGTAAGGGGGGATAAGGGAGGGAGGGGGGTGGGGGGGTGTAAGGGAGGAGGTTGGGGGAAGGGGGAGAAATGACCCAAACATTGTATGCACATATAAATAAAATAAAAATTAAAAAAAAATAACCTAGACCAGGGAAAATCATGCACATTATAGGATGAGCACACTCTAATAAATTTAACCCTTCTGATTTGGGCAGCTTGATAGAGTGTGGTGGCCATTCACAATCCCAGAGACCTAAGAAGTAACAAGGTTGTATGAAGAAGGTTTGAGTTGCCTTTGGAAACAGTCCATGTTACACCACAAAAAAGGTATGCACTAGAGAGCCAGGCATTATAGCACATACCTGTAATCCCAGAACTCAGGAGGCTGAGACAGGAGGATCCCAAATTCAATGTCAGCCTGGCTACATAATGAGACTCTGCCTCAAGGAAAAAGAAAAAGAAAAGGAAAAAAGTAAAAGAAAAAGGTTGGACGGCAACTATAATCTGAAAGTTTGCTGCTCAGAGCTAAAATCATGTGTGTGACAAAGTCAGTTTTACCAAACCCATGCAACTGAGCGAGGTTGTAGTACCAGAACTCAAGTCTCAGATATGAATTACACAAGCAAGAGCAGGGTATGTTCACTGTGCTCTGCTTAACAACTTGTCAGAGGCCAGGAAGACAAAACACACAGACATCAAGTTACATGAAGCACACTTACTGCTTACAGGCAGAAGGGACAAAAGAAGCCTAAGATCCCTTGTGAGCCAGGTCCCCAAGAATCAAGAAGACTGTCCCAGTTGTGGTGTTAACCAGCTTTTCATTATTATAACAATTATCTGAGACCAATCAACTTAAAAAGAGGAGAGGTTTATCTTAGCTCCCAGTTTCCAAGGCTCACCATCCATGACCGATTGGCCCTGTTGCTTTGAGCCTGTGGTGGGCACAGTGCATCATGGTGGCAACTGTGGTGGAAAAAGCCAGTTTGTCTCGATGCCAGGTTGGGGAAATGACTGCCGTCCCACAGTTCCTTCAAGGGCATGCTCCAAAGTCCTAAAGACCTCCCGAGGCCCCACCTCTTAAAGTTTCCACCAGCTCTCAACAGCGCCATGCTGGGGAACTGAGTCTTTGTGAGGCATTCCAGATCCACAGTAAAGCACCTCACTACACAAATATTCAGATTTTTGTTTGCTTTAAAGGTGGTATAGGAGTTTAGTGTAAAAATGAGAAAGTACATAAACAGCCAGAGAATAATCACTTTGAATACCAGTGGACCTTAAGAAAACAAAACATAAAACAGGAATAAGACCACACCGGTGTGTTTTCTTTACAAAATGTAACCATCGTGGCCATCTATCCGTATTTATGCATCTCCAACAGTTTGAATTATCGAAGAATATTTAGGGAAACAAAAGTAAAATTGTAAGAGCAGGATGTCATACTTATTCAAGTGGGTCCCTATACTACCTGAGGCAGGATCACCATGGTGTTTGTTACACATGGAGATGAGGGCCATCGCAGGCCATCACAGGCCATCCCAGCCTCCACATGGGGCAAGAAGTGCACTGCACCAGTTTCCTGATCTGATACTCACTGGCCTGCATTAGGGTTTTCAGCAATACACCAGAACACAATCTGCCTTGTTTGTCTGTTTAAGTTTCCTGCTATTGGATTTTTTTCTCTAGGAGACAACAACGGATGGTCTCTGCAACTTGACAAATATTTTGCCAATTACTACAAAATGAGCTCCCCATACCCTTTCAAGGCAGAGACAACTGAATGCCGTAAGTAATCAGAGCTGTTGAGCCTCCTTTTCCATGACGCTGTGTTATTAAAAGTTGGATCCAACACTAAAAAAGGTTAATTTTAGTTTTCTAGTTTCAAACTTTATTAGAGATGAACCCTTCAGAAGAGGACAGGGGAGGGTGAAAAGAGAAGGTAACAAGTGGATATGATCTAAGTGCATTGCATGCTCGTATTAAAATGTCACAGGAAGCCCATCATTTTGTATAATTAATGTATGCTAATTTAAAAAGTTAAAGAAAAAGATACAGCTTTAATTTGAAAAGTCTACTTCCAAATGCGTCAAGGATCTGAAGCGTAAAAGTACTCAAACATATTGGATATTACAAACAAAATGAATGTAAGCAGGATTATTATTTTGTGTTGCCTTTTTTCAGTGGCTATAAACTGATATGACCAAAACAGAGGAGCATATCAGCTGCTTGGATTTTAATGTCTGCAAGAGAAAAATCTTCTGGTGTCTAAGCTATAATTTAGAGCTAGGAAACCCTATTAATTATAACCTGCTATGTGTAGTCATAGTGCAAACTTACAAAAATGCTGGAGGGGGTGTAGAAGGGTATCAACTTAAGAATTAACTTCTTAATATTTTAGTTCAGGAAAACTTGTGAAAATAACTCCTTTTGACAGGTGCCAGTAGTTCATGCCTATAATCCCAGTTACTTGAGTAGAGATAGGGAGCATCATGGTTCGAGGCCAGTCCAGGCAAAAAGTTAGTAAGACCCCGTCTCAAAAAACAAGCTGGGAATGGTTGCAAACCTCTATGAATCTCAGCTACAAGGGAACATAGGTAGAAAGATCTTGGTCAGAGACCATACCTAGCCAAAAACACAAGATCCTCTCTGAAAAAATAAAGCAAAAAGGTCTGAGAATGTGGTCAAGTGGTACAGTGTCTGCCTAGCAAGCTCAAGACCCTGAGTTTAGGGGGAAAAAAAAAGGGAAAGAAGGAAAATTGAACCTTGGTCAAAAAGCAAGGGGAGGGGATATAAAAGGGTATAAAGTCTGCCTTTCCAAACGTTTAATATGTGTTTTTACTCCTCAATGAGGTTAACAACCAGTCTGCCATTTTAAACCTGGATGGGGGATGGGCTGGGAACTGCATGCCTACAAATATGAGTGTTCTAGTGTCGTTTCCCAGGGAAATGAAAAGTGAACTTTGGAACCTTAATTTAAGGCATCACCCAAATCGCTCAGCTGAAGCATGACATACTTCTGTACTAAGTAATATTCTCACAGCTGCACCTCTTTATTTCCATCGCCTCCTGTCCTTGCTTTCGTCCTCCTCACCACGTCCTCCTCGGGCAGTGGTTGGTTCTGTGCCCCAGCGTTGCTTCTGCCGAGGTCACGAGCTTGACTGTGATGCTGCCCATTTACCAGCTGTTCCTTCCGTTTCGTCAAATGTCACTGTGATGTAAGTAACAAAGAACAGCCAGAACAGTACCCGAAGCACTGCATCCCAACCGAGAAGTGTCATTATTAAGAAAGCACTTATGCTGGTGGCTCATACCTATAATCCTATATATTTGGGGAACTGAGATCAGGAGGATCATGGTTCAAGGCCAGCCCGGGCAATCAGTTCTTGAGATTTCATCTCCAAAATAACCAAAGCAAAATGGACTGGAGGTGTGGTTCAAGCAGTACAGTGCCTGCTTTGCAAGCAGGAAGCCTTGAGTTCAAACCCAGTCCTATAAAAAATTTTTTAAAACAATACATTTTATTCAAAGTGATGACAGGTTTCAGTCAGTTGCGATAACTGCTCGTTTTATTTCACATTTATTAAATGCCAGATCCCCACCATATATGTTAATCCCCACCATGTATTACCTTATTTAATCTCTCATAACAATCCCATGACATATTTCGAACCACCATATTTTATCTAAACAAAAGATGTCATCGGCTGCATGTGTTATTAAAAAGGCTGATAATTAATAATTGTGGAGTACTTTCTTAGGACACAGGATTTTCACTTGAAACTTACTGAAAAAGCTCCTTTAGAGTGGATTGAACAAAAAAATTTAATATGCTCTCATGTATAAAGAAAGGAAAACAAGTGAAATAAATTGGATAAAATAGTCCAAGAACTTCACATTTAAATTAGCTCTTCTGAGTCACATTTTACTCAAGAGATACTGATTTTTTTTTCCTAAGTAATTCAAATTTATACATGTGAAAGAAAACTGTTCTCATAAGAAGTGGTTTATTGATTTCTAGTACTTGTTCTAAGTTTCTAGTGGTACTAATTTGAATTCAACCAGACTTCAGCAACAAAAACACACATTTGGCTGAAACCTTTAAATAGAGCTCAGTGGAAGGTAGATCTTAGGGGTTGGGAGGTGGTTGCTTGTTTGTTTGTTTAAGGTGGTGCCAGGGACCAAACCCAGGGCCTTGAACATGACAGGAAGCACTCTGCACGTCGATATTTTAACACAATGTTCGTACTGAGTTGTTTGGTTGTTATTTCCCATCCATATGTTTAGTACCTTGCAGCTCTGACTTTTGGGTGAATGAGGACAAAATAAGAGGGATCCTCGAATTTACAAATGGCCAGTCTTGCCTTTCTCAAACCAAACTACATACAGAGCTCCTGTAGATGTGGTCACATCAAATTCACAGAATCTAGGGTGGGGGTGGGGACTACCCAGGTGACAGCAGCCTGGGAGCTAAGAACATTGGGCAGTTAAACCACAAAACCTCTTTTCCAGAGGAAGTAGCATTCCCACCTGAACCAGGGACAAAGAAAAACATTCGCTCTCTTCCTCCCACAGCTGTTTTTCATAGTCGTTAGTCTTACTAGAAAAAATGACCCTCAAAAAAACTTAGATCTAATGGAGAATTTCTGCAATTAAAATTTCAACTGCAAATGCTGGATACAAGAATGTGTGATAATTTCATTCTATTTTCAGAGAAGAAAATCATTATCACTCCAAATGCTTATATCAAATTAATGGAAAATCCAAGCCAAAGAATATCCTCATGCTACCAAACTCATTTTTCATTTTCCTACAAGTAAGATTTGAATCACTCTTCAATAATTCAACTAACCTCTGTGAAAGACAAGAGCAGAGAGAGGCAGCTGGAGGAGTGGAGGAAGGGAAGTAGTGACCCAAAGGGTGAATGATTTGGTGAATTAATTCCAAGTCAATTTTTTAAAAAACTGTTCCTTTCTGACCCAATACATACACATATACATAAAGATAGATGGATAGATGGATAATTGATATGATAAGACAAAGTGAGATAAATCAGCCTGTTTTCAGCTCTATTTATTGGTGAACAGACAAAAACAACAACCAAAAAATAATAACAACCTAGGACCAGATCCCTATCAAATGACTGGCTGCAAGAAGTCAGGAAAACATAGGGTCAAAGACAAGCCCAAGTTTTCAGGCTAAGTAACACTGATCTGAGAAGGGGTAGGTTTGGTGGCAGTAAACTGGCACAATTCAGGTTCCAACTGTTAAATTTTTCTTTCAATTTGAGATTAACAGGTCTCTCAGTGGAAATTTTCAAAAGGCATCTACAGATGTAGTTCTAAAGCTCAGGAGTTTATTTCCACAACTTTTTTTGTTCTTTGTTGAAAAAACAGCATTCTGGACTGGGGATGCTCAGTGGGCTGGTGCTTGCCTGGCATGCACGAGGTCCTGACTCCATCCCCAGCACTGAAAAAGAAAAGAATGTCAGTCTCTGGCTGAATAATTTAGTGCAATTAATTCTGATAACTGTTCCAGCCCAAAACATACACACATACATAAACACACATATTATGGTCAGTTTTCAACACTGGTATTGAAAAAAAAGAAATCTAGGACCTGATCCTCACAAATGAGCTGTAGCTCAAAGGTAGCATGCTTGCCTAGCATGCTGAGGCACTGGGTTGAATCCACAGCACTGTCAAAAAAAAAAAAAAAGAATGAAAGAAAATGTCTTAAAAGGCTTCTTCTGTGCTTTGGGTTGAGCCACTTGGCTCCTCTTGCCCATTTGTACTTTCTCTGTCATCACTGGCTCTGCTTCGTGCCTCATCCCAGTCTGTTCACTCAGTTTCATAGGGAAAAAAGGTCTAGGCTTTACAGCAAGCACATTAAAGGACTAAATATCAAACTTCATCACTATTATAGGGAAATGTCAGAAATGGACTAAATCATATATAAGCAAAGTATCAAAGAAACCAGTAATCCAAGTCAAGTCTATTGAAGTTGGAGCTTTTTGAAAACATCACATATAAATACTAAAGAATAAAAGAGGCAAATACAGGTAGCTATGAATATTTACACATTAGTCTGGCTTGCTAAACATTGAGCGCTCACTTTCAGATCCTGAAATTTAACCACTAAAACTACATGGTTCCATAAGTAAGAGCTTCCTTTATAAAACTAGAGCTAGCTTTGACAAGAATGATAAAAGTAGGCCCTTTCCTCTATCACACACACAATGTTATATATAACTGCTTATTAAATTGTGGTACAAGGGAAAAACCTTTCTATACCACTTATTTAAAATTAAAATGGGATTGCTTAGTAGTAACTGTTCAGTTGTTGCTACCAATTGCCATTCTCCTTTATAATTATATATATAAACATATATAGACACATACATATATATGACTTTGTGAGGAGCCAATCTTGAGATATCAAATTTTAAAACATATATTAAAGTATTTTAGTTTTTCTAATCAATGAAAATAACATCTACCTCTTTCAAATCCAATAGGATATTTTGAAGATGTAATGATGCTATTTGTAAAATTACTTGGTATCATTTAGAAAGAAGTAGTCTGTGAATCCTAAGCATTCTATGTTAATAAGGGTCCAACTTTGCAAGAGACCTTTCTTGCAAGCTGCAAGCCCTTAAATGAGCCTCCCTTATCTATACGGTAACCCTGACGCTCAGAGCAATTAGCCTCTTCCTTTGGATTCTCATAGAACCTCACTTGCATCTCTTTAAGTGTATTAAACCTGCTTCCTTGAGTAGTTTTAGGGTTCTAATCTTCACCTGAAAAAGAGAACTACTATAGTCTCCATGGGAGCCTGAAACATGGTTTTTCTATATATCCTTCAAAAAATTCCTAACAGTCTACTAATCCCTAAATAAACACTCTTGAAATGAATGTAGATGTAAATAAACACAATGAAAATAAAACAAGCTAATCACTGTCTTAGTCCTGAGCTGTAAGACTGAGGAAATTCTCTAATTTGTAGATAAAACATATCATTTGTCATCCAAATAGAGGAAAAGGTTAAAGACAGAGATTTTGTCTTTTCTTCCAAAGTGCAAGTAGTGGGTATTTGATACGTGCTTGTTGAGAAAATGAATGAATAAACACATCAAGAGCACACTAGACTTTCATCTAGATCCTTAAGTTAAACCCAAGTATTTATTTATTTATTTATTTTTCATTTTTCTTTTATTATTCATATGTGCATACAAGGCTTGGTTCATTTCTCCCCCCTGCCCCCACCCCCTCCCTTACCACCCACTCCGCCCCCTCACTCTCCCCCTGCCTCAATACCCAGCAGAAACTATTTTGCCCTTATTTCTAATTTTGTTGTAGAGAGAGTAGAAGCAATAATAGGAAGGAACAAGGGTTTTTGCTGGTTGAGATAAGGATAGCTATACAGGGCATTGACTCACATTGATTTCCTGTGCGTGGGTGTTACCTTCTAGGTTAATTCTTTTTGATCTAACCTTTTCTCTAGCACCTGTTCCCCTTTTCCTATTGGCCTCAGTTGCTTTAAGGTATCTGCTTTAGTTTCTCTGTGTTAAGGGCAACAAATGCTAGCTAGTTTTTTAGGTGTCTTACCTATCCTCACCCCTCCCTTGTGTGATCTCGCTTTTATCATGTGCTCATAGTCCAATCCCCTTGTTGTGTTTGCCCTTGATCTAATGTCCACATATGAGGGAGAACATACGATTTTTGGTTTTTTGAGCCAGGCTAACCTCACTCAGAATGATGTTCTCCAATTCCATCCATTTACCAGCGAATGATAACATTTCGTTCTTCTTCATGGCTGCATAAAATTCCATTGTGTATACACATTTTCTTAATCCATTCATCAGTGGTGGGGCATCTTGGCTGTTTCCATAACTTGGCTATTGTGAATAGTGCCACAATAAACATGGATGTGCAGGTGCCTCTGGAGTAACAGTCTTTTGGGTATATCCCCAAGAGTTAAACCCAAGTATTTAACAATTTATCTGTACACAATATAAACATTGAAACAGATTATAAAGTAGAATTTGGTTTGGAAGCCAAACACAAAGGGATTCTGAATTAGCTAATATAAAGGATTAGCTAATATAAAAGAATGTTTGGTGACCCAGCAAATGAGATAACTTCAGGAGCGGGTCACTAACTAATCAGCCTTTGGCATTCATTCATTTAAAAATATCATCTACTGCTAAGCATAATCTAGAACAGTGCTTCTTAACCTTTTTTCTCTTCAGTGTCCCCTACTCTCAGGAGCCTTTTCAGATATTGTTTTCTATTTTTCCCCTCTGTGAAATTTTATCCCCACAGATATCCTGTATGTCTGTTTTTGTACATCTGTGCTTTATACATCAAAAAAAGATTTGTCATCATTACCTAAGAATCAATCCTCACCCTCACTGACAATGGATGGTCTTCTAGACTCTATAAAAATGTTTCTCAAATTAGATTCCAAAAGTGTTTTCAGGGGAGTCTGAGAAATTGTCTTTTTTTTAGGAAGGATGCATTGCCAAGTTTAAGCAGCACTGGTCCAAAACCTCAACATTGTTTGTGCTGTCCTATGACATTGTCCTAACCCGAATTAGGCTCCAGACAGTGCAATCTCTTGCTTTTTTATCCGTAAATCTCTGTTCTGTATACTGTGTCATGCAAACTCTAATAATACCATCCTATTGCTAGAACTCTTCTGGTCCAAACCTGGGCAGGTTATGGGTAGCTCAGGTAAAACAACCCCAGCAAGGTTGGTCTTGATTTTTTCCTTACTTGACATATTTTGTCTCTACTATATTACAATGCTTTTACTTTAAAAAAAAAAACTAAAGGTCTGGAACCTTTCCAATACAATCACAATTTTGTGAATCTGGTCTGTGCTAAACTGCTTATTAAGTTGTGATGTAGGCAAAAACCTTTCTATACCACTTATTGGAAATTAAAATGTATCACTTAGAAGTGACCAGCTGTCACTGCCAATTGACATTTTCCTTTATAATTAATTTAAAAATAGTGGAATGTAAGCCATGAAATATGTAAAATATAAACTAAGTTGTTGAGTGTATTTTAAACAGAAAACATGGTTTTTATTGTCACTCAAGTGCCTTCTAATGTTTATTAAATACAAATAGAAAAAAAGGTGGGCACAGTGGCTTACTCCTGTAATCCTATCTTACTCAGGAGGCAGAGATCAGGAGGATAACATTTGGAAGCCAATAAAAGCTGGGTGTGGTGACACACAGCTGTCATCCCAACTATGTGGGAAGCATAAATAGGAGAATTTAGGTCTAGGCTGGCTCCCGGGCATAAACGTCAGATTCTACTTGAAAAATAACAAAAGTAGAAAGAATTGTGGGCATGTGTCAAGGGGTAACACCCTTGCCTAGCAAGTGCAAGACTCTGAGTTCAAACCCCAGTACTGCCAAAAAAAGGGGGGGAATATACCTGAAAATCAATTTTCTCCAAATTTCATTATTTTTAATTTTTGTCAAAATTACAGTATTGCAACCTACATTTAAGAAATGATGAATATATTCAATAATACAAAATCATATTAGACCTCATTCACATGGCACTATGAATGTGAGAGGACATTATGAAATGAAGTATTTCCTGAAAGCAAGTGCTACAGTTGTTACAGCTCATAATTATCTAGCTTGTAATTTAAAAATAAGAAAATTGAAAAAAGAAAAGAACAAAACTAAGAACCAAGTCTTCCATTTATTTCAGGTCCCTCCAGTGGAACTTCATAAGAAAGCTTCCTCCCAATGGCTTCAAGAAATACCATCGTCTCCAGAAACTGTAAGAAAAACTTAATTCCTGAGGTTAAAAATTAACTAGCAATGTTTGGTATACCTGTGGAGACAAATCTAATCACTTCAAGGGATTGTTTCACTGTTAGCTGGAGACTTCAGGTAGCATTTTCTAAGTAGTTCTAGAACGCATTCTAGAAAAATCTCACATATCTGTCCCCAAAGAGACTGGACCATGTGTGCTGTGGAAACTGGCCAATTCCCACATGTACTCAAGAGCTTTTACTCTCTGCAGCATTCCAGCATGAGCTACCTCAATACTCCCCAGTGATCTGCCAGATCCACCGTTAACATGAAATAAGGAAGAATTTTCTCGCAATATGTTTGTGAATTCGAGCTCTACCTAAGACAGCGAGTTGTTGGGGGCTGGGGTTCTGTTTCCGCACTGCATTTAGGTTTGACTTTGACCTTGAGCATCATCTAGACTGCTTGCTGCCTGCAGTTCAAGGTCATGAGTATGCTCTCAGCATATTCAGCAGCTCAGGTGATGTCTACCTGTGATTTAGGTCAACTTTGTGACTAAGTTGTATCATCATATACTTGAATTATTGGGCTTAGATAGATTTAGATACTCTGTCCCTAAGTCACCATATCTTGAAAACACCTCAGAAGTTCTCATTTCATTTTCTACATGTATTGATTTTAGTTTTGCTTTTGTACTAGAGAAACCTGGTATATTAACACATACTGTACTTTTTTAAGGTAACAAATGGAATTAGGACAGAATAAAAAGAAAATTAACTACTTCTTCAGAGAAAGGTTCTACAAATCCACAAAATCTGCAGAAAAATTTATTTTATATCTGAAAATTAAAGCTCCAGTGAGTGTTCAGAGCTTCATTCTGAACACTTAGCAATCAACAGAGAAGACCTTCTCAAAATGAGGCTTGTCACAAAGCTTTATGAGGGCGCTGCTTATTCTGTTTTCTGATTTCAAGAGTCAAACATATTTTTCTGATCTGTAGCACCACCTTATGTCCACATGGTTAGAAGGGATTAGACAATAAACCTAAATATCAAAATCCAGGTTTATAGAACACACTAGTTTAGCATTTTTGCACAATAAACATTGAATTAGTCCTTGAACAGCCAATTTATTCTAAGTAGCAAAACAGCCTAATAAGAAATTCTAAGTGGTAATTAAAGGAATAGCTCAACTCAATCTCTAAACAAGCTGTGTACTGCTTAGTAGATGACACAGCAGTTAGAGGAAAACAAATACATGTTGTTTTTCTGTGAATTGTGAAAAAAATACATTATCGACTACATGACTGGGCCCACGGCACATCAGGAGAAATCACCAGGTGCATAATAAGCTTCTTAACATTTACAGTCAGAGTTGGGTTTACTTGCATATTGGAGAATAAGAAATCTCTTTTCGTCAAATTTTGAATTAACTGAAAGTTCATTCAGATTGATTCTCCCTTATTGCTCCTAAAATTTATAACAAGTTTTACATAAATTCAGGATACTGCTGAGCTGCATTCTGAACAAAAAGCAGGCTTACACCTTCACTTTTTCACCCTCAAAGACAAAAGCAAGTGCCACTGAAATGCAAAGCTTTCATGCGCACAAACAATGCAACAGCTTATACTCCAGTACCTATGACTTGACCTTTAGTTAGCCCAAGGTCAAACTTCCAGTACTACTTCAGTTAATTCTTGTCAGCCTGCATTCTTGTTTTAGCATCTGAATCTAAATTGTATTCTTCCAGTGTATTTTTTTTCTTTTTGCCATTGATATCCTTATAATTTGCTTCAAGTACTTTTTGACATAAGACTTGGTATGTCAAATCAATAAAATTTAATGTTGATTTGCTTGGAAGATTTGAGATTAACATGGAAAGTGGTTTGCAGCATTAAAGTTGCCTTATAATTTTGCTACTTCTATGTTGAGTACTCACAAGTTTGAATAATTATAGTAGGAAATGTTAAAACACCTGGTCTTCTGGACGAGTCTGATCGGTGAGTACTGTACCGTGCATTAAAGTTTTTATTCCAATAAAATTCAAAGAGTAAATTTTAGCTATTATCTGTGTAACTTCATTTTCTAAATAAAAACTAGTGCAAGCTTACACAAATTTAATAGCAAAACAAAAAGGCATAATATCTAGTTTCACTAAATTATTCCATTAGATTTGCCTTTCTCCAAATATTAAATTTTTAAATTTTGTAAAAGACACATATCATAAAATTTACCATCCTAGTTTTTTTGGGTTTTTTTTTCTTTTCCCATGCTTGTCAGCAGTTTGGTTTTTTATAAAGAGAGGGAGGGCCCTGAAAATGAGAGTAAAGGGAAACCTGGAAATCGAATGTGTGCTGGTGTAAGCCAGTCCAAGCACAAACACAGAAGAGGCACATCTGATGCAAGTAGACAAGCAGGGCACTTAAAAAAAAACAACAACCCGAATTCCAGCCTTGGGATTGAGTTATAGTTGATACAAATCTTTTAAACTGAATAAGGTACCTCCAGTAAATTTACAGGACTACTGGATACCTAGCACATGCTTACAAAGTCTGCCCTCTTCCCAACCCCAGGGCCCAACCCTAGCCAGAGCCTGACTCACAGAAGCCAGTGCCACTGAGCTTTCTGCTCAGTGGCTTGGGGCTGGCAGCCTAATCTCCCCACAGTCTAGCTCATTACAGCGATTGCTGTAGGAGTGGGGGTTTTATTCTCTTAAACACTGGCAGCTTGGTACAGCTGAGGAAACAGCTTTAAAAGAAGGAAAAAGGAATGCCCAAGCCCTTATAAGCGTCCATCCCCTGGCATAAGAACCGTTCCCATGGTTACATGTTAGCCACCCATCTGCAGAACCTTTGTCCTCTTGCAAAACTGATACTCTGCTTCGTGTTTTCCTTTTGAATAATCCTGGTTCCAGGTGCCTGCAGCACAATCAGATCACATCTGTGTCGGTCTCTGCCTTCAGAGGACTGCGCAGCCTCACTAAACTGTAAGTACCCGCCCAGGACTCCCAAGGCAGGGGTGTTGCCCTGGTCTGCTCCTACCCAGCCCCCTCAGGACAGCTCCAGGGGACTGCACAGGGTGCTGAAGGGTCATGTGGCCCTATGGCTGAGAACTGGTGTTGGGAGTCAAAACAGGCTTCAGGCTGAGTCCTGACTCATCCCTAGTGAGGTGAGGGACCTGAGCAGGTTATTGTTTCCTAAGCACTACTTCCCTCTTTGGTACAATACAGATTACACTAGCACCTGCCTTGGGCTATAGGGAACACCAGAGAAAATTCACAGCTGCTTCAGGCGCATGGAGCCTGGCACATGGGAAGAACTCGGTGTATGTTAGCCATGGCTGCAGGAGTGATGACTGAAGGAACTCGAAGTGAGAATGCCTGATGATATATTTAAAAAGGAGGAAAAAAATAGTTGGTCATGGTGCGCACGCCTGTAATCCCAGCACTAGAGAGGCTGAGACAGGAGGATCATGAATTCAAAACCAGCCTGGTCTATGTAAGACCTTGTCTCGAAAAAAAAAAAGACAGATAAGAAGAAAAAACCCTAAGACTACCCCAGTTACTCAGTGAGAGGAGGCTGTTTGTTTTTTGTTTTTGTTTTTCCTAAGTGCCAGGGATTGAACCTAGGGTCTCACAGACACTAAGCATGGACTTTCCCACTGAACTACACTGCAACCCCTCAGTTACTCTTTTTTCACCAATCTGCTTTTATAGATATATAAAGCACTGTACGTTTAAAACAGTGAAGCTTGTGGTAAAACATACATAATACACGATTCACCATCTCAAGCAATTTTAATGCGCAGTCCAGTGGGAGTAAATATCTTCACCTCGCTGTGTAGCCACCCTGTCCAGAATGTTCCGTCTTCCCCAAAGATGTGTATGGCTCATTTCACTGACACATGTGGCAGCATGTGTCAGAATTTCCTCCTTCATAAGGCTAAATACTGCTCCACCTGTGTGTGCGCGTGCGTGTGCGTGTGTGCGTGTGCGTGTGTGTTTATCCATCCGTCAGTCTGTGAACGCTTGGATTAGTTCCACCTTTGGCTATTGTAACTAAGGCTACCGTGATGGGAGTGTACTATCTGTTGAGTCCCTGTTTTCAATTTGTTCAGCTGCATGTTCGGGTGTGTGCCTGCTGGGTCAATTTGTACAGGTACGTGTGTGACTCCATCAGATCGTTGAGGAACTGCATCCATCTTCCACAGCACACGAGCCATTTTAATTTCCCACCAGCTGCACAGGAGCTCCAGTTCCTCCACTTGTTGCTTTCTAGGGACACATGGAGCACTGGGGGACACCTATCCAAACCTGCATAGAGTAGGTGCTCAAAACAATGCAATGAGTAAATTGATCAGGAAAGCATAGATTGATTAATCGGTTCCTTGTGGGGAAATCAAAAGCTATATGACAAGGCAAATGATACAAACTCAAAGATTCAAAGGTGGGGCAGTGACACGATGAGGATAGGAGGACTAGTGTTTTTCCTTTCTTTACTGTAAAACATCCAAAAGGTACAAACTTAACCGCAGTCATGCTCCTTTTCCAGGTACCTCAGTCATAACAGGATAACCTTCCTGAAGCCAGGTGTTTTTGAAGATCTCCACAGACTGGAATGGCTGTATGTTTCATTTATGTGGCATTTCAGAGCATTAGTTTTTATGTTCTAAAATAACACAAGTGAGTGAGTTTTTCTTCTTCTGACTGGCAGGATAATTGAAGATAATCACCTCAGCCGAATCTCCCCACTAACATTTTATGGACTAAATTCTCTTATTCTCTTGTAAGTACTAAATTAAAGCAAGCATTTCAATTGTGGGAATGTGATCCAAGTACATTATATGCATGTTTAAAAATAGAATCAGAAAACCCACTGAAAATTATAAAATAGAAAGGGGAACAGAGAGTAATAAAGGGGAAGAATTTGATCTACATGCATTACATGTATGTACAGACATATCACAACAAAACCCCTTTGTCCAATTAATATACACTAATAAAAAAGGAATACTTTAAACATTAAATTTGGAATTATTAAGGCTCCAAAAAGGCTTTTTCAACTAAAAACTATCCCTTAGTCATATTCTGTAAGGCTGCTAACAATTTTGTAAGATATTCGACCTTCTAGAATGTCAGCCTGTCAGAAGGAAGTCTCACTGCCCCATTCCCCTGAACTGCTGTACAGCACATCATAACTGCTGTGCCTGAATCTTGGTAAAAGGAAAAAGGATTCATTTGAAGTCACCTCCTGTGCACAGCCCACTGTCGATGGCACATCCTTGGTTCAGCCAGTGCAGACTTGGCATGTGTGATGGTGTTAAATGCTTCTTGCATTTGACAACTACTACTTGTGGGAATTTTATTACTGCTGAGCACTTAACTATAACAGGACACACAAAGAAAAGCTAGACTGAGAAGATAACTAATTTAGCAGATTTGCACGTTTCATAAGAGTTAGATAATACCAGATTGACTTAGACAGGGAAAATGATCTTGTCCCTTGTTTCTAGGGTGCTGATGGACAACGCCCTCGCCCACTTGCCTGACAAGCCTCTCTGTAAGCACATGCCAAGACTGCACTGGCTGTAAGTCACTCTGTCTTGTTTTTTAAGAAGTCAACTAAACGTGCTGGGTTTTCCTAACACATTTTGGATATCTAGGTTTGGGGGGGGATTTGTAGTAGGTGGCTAGTATCATATCACATTTCTTTACATTAGCATGTTTTTATATTAAACATCCCTGTTATTTAACTTCTCTAAACTCTCATCAAAGTAAAGTATATTAAAAAAAAAAAAAAACCTTTGGAACCAGGAAGAAGGAAAACAGAAAGGATTCAAGAGGTCTAAATAACACCTCCCCTTTTCCCCTGCCATTCTACTCACCTATGAAGTTGGTATAGAAAGACCAAGTTGTTTTAGCATTATTCCTAAATGCTGAATAATGAAAATAATGATAGTTACCTAGAAGGTAACACACATGCACAGGAAATAAATGTGAGTCAACTCCTTGTATAGCTATCCTTATCTCAACCAGCAAAAACACTTGTTCCTCCCTATTATTGTTTATACTCTCTCTTCAACAAAATTAGAGATAAGGGCAAAATAGTTTCTGCCGGGTATTGAGGAGGTGGGGGGGGAGGCGGAGGGGGCGGGGGGAGAAATGACCCAAGCCTTGTATGCACATATGAATAATAAAACAATAAATAAATAAAAAGAAAATATGCTAAGATAAAATCTCTTACGTCAACAAAAATAAAATAAAATAAAATAAAAAAATTTTAAAAAGGAAGAAACAAAAAAACCTATTAGAAAGTTTAATCAACAAATCACGTATCATATGAAAACTCCTTCTGCTTCATGTTTGATAAGAAATTTTCAAAAGTTGTTTGATTTCTAAGTTCACAGCAGACTAGAAGTGTGAAATTAAAAGGACAGAGTCAGAAACATTGATTGTCGATAGAAGCAACAGCTATCAACTTGATCACCAAGGGAAAGCAAGAAGGGCCATAAAAGGTCAAGATCATTATTACAATGTAGTAATTTGGAAACCCTTAGGAAAAGCCAAACATTTCCAAAGTCATCACTGAGTGCAGGAGGCGTCTTTGGTGTGATGGCACAATACTGCTCTACACTTTGATGACAAGCTGCAGTCACAAAGGACAGGGAAAGGCAAGTCAGATCCTTCATGGGACTTGATTCTGGTTCAGAGGGGCTTATCAACAGCCATCACTCAGTAATCCTGACTTAGTTGTAAAGACAACTGGTCAATGCTTGCAAAAATAAATGAGTGATTAAAAGCACCAAAACAAGGAAGGAAGGAAGGAAGGGAAATTGCTCATTGAGGCCAGAAGTAAATGTGAAAGGTATTATAAAGATGCAATCTTTTCCTTTGCTTTTAAAGAGGGAGCAAAATATACAATGTACATCAGATAAAAACAAAAGGGTTAAAATTTATTACTAAAAATCTGGTCTTTTAGAATTTTTATAAGTAAAGTTATGATCTATAAACTTTAGCTATCAAAACCAAATTGCTTTCATATGCATCCTGATAATGAATAGTATCCCAAGTTTAATAATGTTTTCTGCTATTTGTAAGTATTCATCTCCTCTCAAACTAATTGCAATGTCATTACCTTGCATATTAGCTTCTATTTAGCAAAGTATGAACTATAAAACCTGATAGAGTCATGAGTCAAAAAACAATTTTAACTCTAATTTCAGAGAAAAATACACACAACAGAAAAAGACATGAAAGTCCAAGAAATTACACTTGCAAGATATATGACTGGAAATAGATAAAAGAGGGTATTTAAAGCAATAAGAAAACTGAAAACCCCAAAATAAAAGTTGGAAATTTCAAAAAGAAAAGCAAATAGCTAATAAAAAGCAGATGAACATGGAGCAATCGGCAGTGCTTTCTCAAAGGTCAAGTATTCTTTATTTTGAAGTGAAACTAAGCCAAGTTTATTTATTAACAGAAGACAATATGAAGAATTTGAAAATTCTTCAAATCTAGAAGTCAGTATGGTCATGTTGTAGAAGAAGATACTGGAAAACACAGAAATAGATGGAAAATAAAATTTCAAAGCCAGGTGCCAGTGGAATAACTGAGCACTCCACACTCCAGGGTCAGCTCTTCCTAACAGACTGGTTTTCACTGGCCTCCACCAGCTCACTAGAAAAACTCCTGATAGGTAAGGAAAGTGGAGAACTCCCTTTGATAGCACACAGACAAAAACCTCTTCCCCAGGCTCCTTCCTCTTCAGAAGGAAAAGCACCAAACAAGGACAGGAAATCCTCCAGCCCAGGAGCGGACTGTTTCCTCTCACTGTTTCCATGGGGAGGGAGACGCTAGAGTTCTCTATCCCAAGGTAGGGGTGGGGAGACAGCCTCTCCAGCATTGATCCAAGGCAGGGGTAGTGTTCTCCTCCATCAGGGCTGGAAACTGTTAGTAGCTTCCCATCACTGTGACAAAATACCTGGATTAACCAACTTATAAGGAGGGAAGTTTACTTGGCTCACACGTTCTGAGGTTTCAGTCTGTGGTCAGTTCACTTTGTTGCTTTGGGGCTGTGATGAGGCAGGAACACATGGCAAAGCAAAGCTGCTTATTTCGTGGTGGCCAGGAAGCAGAGAGAGAGTGGAAGAGGCCAGGTCCTGATATCCCCTCAAGAGTACCACCCCCATTCCTATGACTCAACTTCCTCTCACAGGTTGGTGCCCAGGCCTTTGACACCCTTATCCAAGCCACAGCACTGGCTGATGAGAGTGGCTTCTGGGAATGGGGAAAGTGATGCTGACAAAACCCCACCTCCAAAAAAGCAAGAAAAAATGTCCCATGTCAACTTGTCAAATAGTCAGCCTAAGCAGACAGGGTAATCACTCATACATTACTGCTTCCACATAGGGACACTAGATACTTGTGATCAGTAAGTTAGCAGTGGAAAAGTTGGACAATGTGTATGAAAATGACATTAAAGAGATAGAAACTATAAAAATGAATCGAAAGATTATTTCAGCAGACAGAACACAGCTGAAAATAAGCCAATAGAAAGCTTCAAAATTAAAACAAAAAGAGAAAAGATACTACCATAAAGACAGAACAGAGAATACAAAAGCTGCAGGTTTAAAAAGGATGCAATGGAGTGAAGAAAAACAAGACAGGAAGAACAAGACAGAAAAAATATATAAAGAAGTAGTGGCCAAGAACTTTTCAAAATTAGCATAATACAATAATCCAGAAATCTAAATACCTCAGAAAAACTCAAGCAGAATAGGTAAAAAACAGATAAATCATAGTCACACTGATAATCAAAGATAAAGGAGAATTCCTAGGCAAGCAGAAAAAATAGAAACATTACATAATGTAGAACAAAGGTAGAAATGGAACACTAATTTTCTTAAAGCTAAAGGGCCTATATTAATATTAGAAGAAACAGACTTCAGAACACTGGGCACAAAGTGGGACATTAAATAAGTATAAAAGAGTCAACTGAGCACAAAGATAGAATAACCCTAAGTGAATGAGCAGTTTCAAAATACACCAAGTGAAAATCACAGACCTGTGAAGTGGAGTAGTTAGAAGTCTGAAGCTGTCATTTAAAATCAACAAATCAATATCAATACATGGATGATAGATGGTAGATAGATGGGTGGATAGATAAACAAATAGATGATAGATTGATAATAGATAGATAGATGATAGATAAATAGATAAATTTGATATTCTCAAGGTGAGCTTTACTAAAAAGCATGTAATTGACCAAAGTCATATAGTGGAAGAGAGACAGAGGAGCAGAAAGGAAGAAAATATGTACTAATTTCAGCACTTCTTTTTTTTTAAGGAGAGAGATACCTTTTATTTTATGAGGATTTATGAGTATAATTACACATCTGCATTTTGTTTCATATGATCTCAAAAAATATTTAAGTCATTCATAAAGTTGTTTTCAAATTTATACCATATAGAAAGGTCTACTTTTATGAGCTTCTAATGGGAAAAACAGGAATACTTCTTTCCATTTTTATTTTTATTATTTTTACCATTCTATTTCATATATGTATATGAAGCCAATCAACCATATTCCCTCACCTTCATCTCCTCCATTCACCCTCCCTCTCCCACACGTATCCTCCACACATTGTTCTTATTTTATAGTCCTGTCTTTCATTAATTTCAAAGTTAATGTTCAAAGGGGTTTCTTGAAATATATCCACTGCGAGTATACTTTACTTTGGTCTGTTCAACCCCTTCCAATACTCTCCCTTATCCCTTCCCTCCCACCCTATTTTTCAACAGCATTCAATACATATCCTTACACCCTCTACCTGCACAGACGTTATGTATTTTAATATTGTTGATGCTCTATCATCCTCTCTTCCTTTCCTTCCTCCTGTGAGTTCCATAGAGTAGTTCCACTATTACATACATGTTCTACATATGAGTTTGTCTCTCGACCTGCGTGAGCTCTTGTCCTACAAACCTAACTGGGGGAGACTTGAGAGGCAGAAAGGACAAAAAATGGAAGACGAACATGCAGGAAGTTGGGGTCAGGTGTGCTGGGTGCTCCAATGGAGACACACAACAGCCTCATTACTTCTTTTACTTTGCTTCTTTTCTCTGTTCTTTAAAACCTTGCTTCTTTTCTATTCTTTAAAGCCTTTGTCCTTAGACTTGCACTGTCCCATGTTTCCTCTAATCTCTAACATAACTCCTAAAGTCTCAGACCTTAAACTCACAGACACACAACAGCAGCCTCCAGCAGCATCAGCAATAGCAGCCAGCAGCATCATCAGCGCCAGCAAGCAGCCAGACCCCCCTCCTCCTTCAGCGAGTCTTTTATATACAGTGGCAAACAAGGAGGTGGAGGCACAGTTCTCAGGAAGGGGCATGACACTGTAACAGGAGAAACCTGCCACCACTACTCTCTACATGTAACTATCTTAGGAAAAGCAGCTGTGCTGCATTTTGCCCTCACCCCCTTCTGTGACTGGGGCCATGCCAAACTCAGCCTGCAAATTATTTGACACAGCTGTGCTTATGTCAGGTTCTCATAGGCTTCTCATAATCCACTCCCCACAGATTT